AAAGGGGGCGGGAGGAGGGGGGGGCAGAAGGGGCGGCGGGGGGAGGCCCCGCCCCTGCTGGAGGAGGAAGAGGAGGAGCGGCCCCCTCTCCGCCGCGGTTGCCCGGCAACGCCGCCGACGTCAGCGGAGCGCCCCCGGGAGCGGGGGGATCCCTGGGGGGAACCCCGCGGGGGGCGCCCCCGCCCCGCCCGCCCCCATCCCCGCCCCGCCCGGCGCCCGCGGGCGCCCGCACTCACTCCGCCAAGGTCAGCGCCGGGATCCTAAGCCTCGCGCGGCGCCCCTGCATGGCCGCCCCCGCCGGCGGGGGTCCCCCTGCACCCCCCCGCCAGGCCCAGGCCCCCCCGCCGCGCGCCCCCCCTCCGCCCCCGCCGCGCCGGGCGCCGGTTGGGGATCGGCGCCGGCCGAGCGACTCGAGCCGCAGGCAGCGCCACGGCCTCCCGGCGGCGGCGACTCCCGCGCATGCGCGGCGGCCGCGCCGCCCGGGGCATGCCGGGAGTCGTAGTCCCGGCGCCGCCTCGGCCCAACCGGCCTCGCTGCGCTTTCATCCAACGCGATTTCTTGCAAGTAAAATATTGTCCATTAAAACAATTTCCCCGCCGCAAAATCAGAGCAGCCTCGAAATGAGGCAGAATCGGCCTAAAAGCAGCATTTTAAATGTGAATATTATTGAATTTTTCTGGCCAGGGCGGCTTCTTTTATATGCTATATTTGTAATTTATTTTAATGTATATATTTGAAAATGTTATTTAACCGATTTGTTGCAAGCCGCCCCGAGGCTTCGGCGAATGGGGCGGCAGAAAAATGTTTTAATGAATAAATAAATGAAATAAAATAATGAAATCGAAATGACACCAGGAATAGATAAGAAAAAAAAATCAGGTAACAATAGAAAGGAACACGAATAAGAAGAGAAATGAAATGAAATCGCAGGAACACTGGAAATAAGGTATAGAAAGAAAAGGAAAATCAGAATAGAAATAGGAATAGAAAGAAAATCAGAATAGCAATGGGAATAAATGAGAATAGAAATAAAAGTGAAATCAGAAGAATAGACGTGAATAAGAATAGGAATAAAAGTAAAATCAGAAGAAAAATAGACATAAATAAGAATAGGAATAAAAATCTGAATAACAATAGACATAAACAAGAATAGGAATACAAGTAAAATCAGAAGAACAATAAATAACAATAGAAATAAAAGTAAAATCAGAATAACTCGTCATAAATAAGAATGGGAATAAAAGTGAAATCAGAATAACAATAGACATAAATAAGAATGGGAATAAAAGTGAAATCAGAATAACAATAGACATAAATAAGAATAGGAATAAAAGTGAAATCAGAAGAACAATAGACATAAATAAGAATAGGAATAAAAATCAGAATAACAATAGACAAATAAGAATAGGAATAAAAATAAAATCAGAATTATAAAAATAAATAACAACAGAAATAATAGTAAAATCAGAATAACAATAGAAATAAATGAAAAGAGAAAGAAAAAGAAAATCAGAATAACAAGAGAAATAAAAGTAAAATCAGAATAACAGTAGAAAGAAAAAGACAATCGCAATAACAACAGAAATAAACATCGAAGCAAAGCAAAATGCCAAGAAAAAGCACATTATAGTCCTAGAAATACTATGGAAAACCTCCCAGAATAAATCAAATTCTCGGCATTAAGAATTCTCCTAATTAAGACGGGGGAAAAAAAGGCAACGCGACAATTAAGGCCATTATTCAAATTAGTGCAATTAGTGATTGGAATGCTGGGTAATTAAAAAGGGCTGGACTGCGGCCGGGGAGCATGGGCCTCGTCTGGGGGCCGCCACGGAGAAGGCCCCGCTCCGGGGAGCCCCCCCCCTCCTGGCCTTCCCTGAGGATTCCGGAACCCAGGTGCCACCGCGGAGAAGCCACGCTCCTGCCCTCTCCGAGGATTCCAGAACCCAGGTGCCACCATGGAGAAGGCCCCGCTCCTGCCCTCCCAGAGGATTCCAGAACCCAGGTGCCACTGCGGAGAAGCCCCCCTCCTGCCCTTCCCCGAGGATTCTGGAACCCAGGTGCCACTGCGGAGAAGGCCCTGCTCCGGGGAGCCCCCCTCCTGCCCTTCCCCAAGGATTCCAGAACCCAGGTGCCACTGCGGAGAAGGCCCCGCTCCAGAGAGACGCCCTCCTGCCCTTCCCCGAGGATTCCAGAACCCAAGTGCCACCGCGGGGAAGGCCCCGCTCCGGGGATCCCCCCCTCTGCCCTTCCCAGTCGATCAATAAACACGTAAACAAACAAATATGCAAATTCATAAACACCCCAATCGATCAATCAGTCAATCACTAAACACATAAAAAATCTATAAATAAATCTAAAGATGCATCAATCGATCAATAAACACATAAACAAACAAATATGCAAATTCATAAACACCCCAATCAATCAATCAGTCAATCAATAAACACATAAAAAATCTATAAATAAATCTAAAGACGCATCAATCGATCAATAAACACATAAACAAATATGCAAATTCATAAACACCCCAATCAATCAATCAGTCAATCACTAAACACATAAAAAATCTATAAATAAATCTAAAGACGCATCAATTGATCAATAAACACATAAACAAATATGCAAATTCGTAACCACACCAATCAATCAATCAATCACCGAAAAAACCCCAAAAATATAGAAATTAATATCGAGACACATCGATCGATCGATCAATCAACACATCAAACCCCAAACTCCAGAAGTAAATATAAAGACGCGTCGATCAATCGATCGATCGATCAATCAATCGAAACATGAAACCAACAAATGGAGAAATAAATGCAAAGATGCATCGATCGATCCATCAATCCATCAATCAATCGATCGATCAATCAAAACATGAAACCAACAAATGGAGAAATAAATGCAAAGACACATCGATCGATCCATCAATCAATCGATCAATCAATCAATCAATCAAAACATGAAACCAACAAATGGAGAAATAAATGCAAAGACGCATCGATCGATCCATCAATC